AATTATTTGCTTTTTTTCGTTGCCCTTCATTTTCTATTAATTCAAAAAACACATATACTATTTCAAATTAAACACGATCATTTTATAACACCAATAATTTGCTTAAATAATGTGACGAATTTAAATAAATAATTCTAATGTGTTAAAATAGAAAATCAATAAGAATTGTCAGTTGATATGTAATAATCGTTTTGAATATGACAGAAGATGAAAGCGAACATATCCAATTCTATTTAATAAATTAACGAATTATGAATATTATTCGTTCACTAATTGATTATCTACAATAGTATCAACTATTCAAATAATATTCAACTTATTAAATAATAATATTTTTACTAACTTGAATAATTTAAATCACTAATGACTATAATTTGTTTAAAAACATTTACATAATGGATAATTCAATATTCAATGTGAAAATTAAATTTTAATTTCATAAGTTAGAATACTCATGAAATATGAGAAAAGGAGGCAAGAAAAGTTAAATGAACTATGTAATAATTAGAAATGAATTATTTTGTTAATGATACTCATAAATATTGTTTTTCATTTAATTAACAATAGCATCATATAAATAGTTAAAATAATAAATTAAAATATTATAAAATGTAGAATTTGTTTATATTATCATTTTTTGACTATCTATATAAGTTACTGTCTAATTTTATTTGTTGTTGACTTTCTAATTCAACAATCTCAATAATTGAACAGCCTGGCTTTTCTTCTCCATATTGATATGTACTTCAATTTCTTGTTCATTCTTAAATTTTCAAAAATAAAAATAGAGTTGATTAGAAGATCTTGTCAACTGTCTTTTCCAAGAAGATACAATCTTATTCTGATACAAAAAGACAAGAATAAGACAAGATAATTGAATGGAACAATTTCCAAATACTGAAAGTGTTTCTCCAAAAAGTATGGATTATTTAGTTTGTATTTATCTATCATCTTTTATCAGCACACATAGACAATACTTACTACTAGGATTCAAAATTGAGATACAAAAACTTGAAAAATGAAGTGAAAACTTTACATAAAAAGACTAAAGTAGCCAAAAAAAAAGATGCAAGTCAGGCTGAAATTGAAGCCATTACAAATCTTCTTGATCTTAAAAAAAGAGAGCTGGATGAGGCACGGACATTTTATAAGGAGAATAGAAGTAATAAATGGAAGGAGAAATTTCGTCGCACCAATTAAATCTCCATCATATTTTTAATTCATTTTTCAAGTTTTTGAAATGATATAATTTTTTTTTGTGAAAAGAATAGTTCCTTTACATAGTAAAATAACTATAAAGATTTTTGACATTTTGTGTTGTTTTGAAGAAAATTTTCTCATTCATTTATTAAACACAAAAGTCAGATTAGAAAATGGTGCATAAATGTCATTATCTCTGCTTAAAGAAGTGAATAGTATTAATGAAAATGATTAAGTTGGTTTCGATAAATTAGAAGAATAAACATAATTAAAAAGTCATAACTAAAAAGTCAAACTTGCAAAATGAGATCTTTTTAAGTTCCCAAACCCTTTAGTTTAGACTGCCAAGGAACTGATATATTTTGCAAATATGGCTACAGAACAAGTGCCCCAATCACCTAGGATAGTTTTGCCAATTCCATGTGCAAATAATGGTTTGTGATGAACAGTATAAAATAAACAAAATATAAATTTATATTATAGGAAAGCCAGTTTATGTTGTAGAAGGAGAAATTGCAATAGAGCAACTAATCATTAAATATCGAAAATTAGAAATCGAAAAGATAAAAGAAAAAGAAAGGTTTCAAGAAGTAGTTAAAATATACAAAGAAATGAACAAAGAACTAGACCTTTTTATTAATAACTTTAAAGAGAAAAGGAAATCAATTACAATTCAACAATTAAACAACGGCATTATTGAAGACAAAAAAACTTCCCTTCCAAATATTTTTGAAAAAAATTCTTCTAGTCCTGCTATTAAAATGTCAGACAATAATCTACATCATAATAACTCAGAAATTAATCATTTAAATACTCCTATTTCTCAACCATCAAGTAAACTTCCAAAATTACTTTTTAATTCAACACCTTCACTCCAACCAATTAAACTACCCAAACCTCCTGTTACTTCAATACAACAAGTCCCATCAGTACCAGCCCAACTACAACCTCCATTAGAAACAGTTACTTCTAAAAAAAATCATAAAAAAGGAAGTAGTTCAAATGATGATGAAACAGAGACAAATTCTGACTCAGAAACCTTAGTTAGTAGTTGTTCTGATACTGTAGATGAAGGAATAATTACAAACAATATAACCAAAGAAAAGAAGGTGACAAAAGAGAAAAAGCCACGAAAAAGGATTACTATGCCAAAGAAACCTGTTGGTGAAAAAAGACAGTATAAAAGAAAAGAAAAGAAAGAGTCTGTTAATGATGGTTTAAAACCACTTTCTTCTATCAACAATGTTACGAGTTTGTCTAAATTGGAGAATACTACTGCATCAGTTGATATTGCTCCTCTCAACATCAAAGAAGATGAAAAGTTCCTTCCAAAAGTAGCTGTAGACTTAAAAAATAGAATCGGTATGATAGAAGAAAAGGAAAATGAAGAAAAGAAAGTTAAAACAGAAGATGACATTAAAGTGGAAGAAGAAGATGATGAAATGTATCTTGAAACTATAGAAGAAGAAACAGCAAATAATACTAATACGACGGAATAAAAAATGAATGATTAAATCAATGTCATATTGTATTTCATTATTTTCATGCTTTGATTTAAGTATAATTGAAATTAAA